CGGCCGCGCCGAGTCCGCTCCGCCCGGGCCTGCGGCTGCCCGAGGCACGCTGCCCGCCGCCGCGCGGCCCCACACTCACCGTCCGCGAGGCACAGAGTCGCCCAGTGCCGTCCGGCTCTGCCTGGCCCGGCGCTGTCTCTATGGAGCTCAATGTACTGCAATGGCTGTGAGAGCGGGAGCCAGACGCAGCCTCCTCACTCTCTCCGCTCTGTAACATTACTCTCCAGCCAGCGCCGCTCCTATTGGCTACCGCCAACTCACTGGGCTCGCTCATTGGTCCGATCCCTCCCATTGTCCTGACCAGAGCCCGTCTGCTATTGGCTGTCTCCGGGGACACGTCATCAAGGATTGAAACAGCGCGCAAATCTGAATGTGTGTGTATGCCGGGCAAAGAGGCTGAGGCGGGAGAGGCAGAGGCATAGGCAGCAGCTGCTACGCGAAAGCAGAGCTCTATGGTGGATGTGTGCATGGTCTAACCCAAGCCAGCCCCACTCCGGAGCGGCCGCCCGAGCGAAAAGGGCCTGGCTTTTCCACAAGTGTCTCCAACTCCTCGGGCAAAAGAGACACCCACAGGCCTCCCCCCCCCTTCCTGCCCCACACTCACCTCCAAAGCCTGGAGATAAGAGGGCCTAGACTTTTAACAGACCTTCAAAAGTGGGGGTGACGGGATGAGATCGTGCCCCCTGGAAATTGGGGTCTATGAGAGTGCAGAGGGGCGAAGGCAGCCAAGCACAGAACCCCTCAACAGCATAGGGTTGTATTGCCCTTTAGATCTCCATGAAGGCAGGGTCTCCCCTACCAGAAAGTGATATGATACAGCGAATCGGCTTTAAAACACCCCTTCTCCGGGCTCATCTGCCGAAATGTCGGCTTGCCGAGCCCCCGAAATCTTCAATCACCCAGCAGGCATTCAGTTTCACCCTTTTTCTTCGTTTGATCGAGTTTCACAGCATGTCTAGAACTTTGTATTTAAATACAAAGCACCGTCTGAACTTCCTGGAAATCAAATAATTATTCCATGTAATTAAAGCACAGCCGCTGAGTTTTGATAATGGGGACTCTAGGAGGAAATGTTTGCGAGGGCCTGCTAGAATGAGCACTCATTAGAGACCACTTTTTTTTTTTTTTTTAACTGTTTGGCTATTTTATTTGACTTGGTGTAGATTACTGTTATAATCAAACGAATCCTTGTGAGGCTATCTTCCCCTCCCATCACACCACTTAGTCCATCCATGTAACTGCTCTAGGATTACAGAGTTGTGGGTATATTGTTACCCGGAGATTCAAGGGAGCCGAGAGTGCATATGCCCAAATCCACAGGTGAGGTTTCTCTAAGTCACCAAGCTGGCCAGTATTGATAGACATACTTTTCTTCTGTGTAGAGAAAGTATATACTATCATGGCCAGTTCTGAAGACGGTACATTTAGATCAGGCCTTTATGAGCTGATTATCTATTCCTTCTCACCCTGAGAAGACCACACCCCTATTCAGTTAGAACAGACTTCCCTTTTTTTCACTCTCTAATGGTACGTTTATATGCTTCTAAATCCACCAGCCAATTTCTCCAAAAGTAGTAGATCAAAGTCAATTTAAATCATGTATATGAATTTGGCTTCTTATATTCCCTCTAAGCTCCCATAACCTAATGTATTTGCTCAAATTTATTAAGGCTTCCCTGACCTACAATTTTAGTGTTTTTAATACACTCTCGATCTCTGGGATTATAATCTTGGTGAAGAGACTACATACCACACATGCTCATGAAGAAGATTTACATATTAAAAATACATAACACTGGCATAGTGCTCACTCAGTGTTTAAAAAGTAAATAAAGTTAACTTTTCTATTGTTATTTTCTCACATATATACCCTTCTCTACTTCTCTCTATTCATCAATCAATTTATATGCTTTATTTAAATCTAGGTATTTACTTCAATCCTGTTTTATCATCTTGATGCAAAATAGTCAAGAGCATGTTTAAAGATATGTTAAATGGCATTCATGATATCAAAATTTGGCTGTTATCTGAAGATAGTTCTATCGATATTTTCCATTAGCAATGCTGAGGTTTGCACTGACGCAGCCATATATTTTTACCAGTTGTCAGTAAGAGTTTACTCCACACAGGGCAAGTTTATGGCCACTGAACAGTGTGAGAACAACGGGCCCACACAAGGTTTCTATTCTGGCAGGTTGGTATGGTGAGCAATAGACACCGGAGTAAAATAGACCTTGATTCAAATCCCAGCTCCACTACTTACTATCTGGATGATCTTGCACACGTTTTTTAACCTCTTTGTGCCTCAATTCTCTCAGTTATAAAATGGAGGCTATTACAGGGTTGTTGAAAAGATTAAACTTTAAAAAAAAAAAAAAAATGTTTAAAATTATGTCGATCTCTTCAATCCTGTGACTTACAAAACCTCAAGTCCTGTTTGTTAACCTTGAATTTTTCTTCATATTTTAATTATATATGGGGGCAGAGGTTCCAAATCTAGTTAGGCCTTTTTTTTTCTTTAAATCCTAGCTTCAAACATCACCCATGTTCATCCAATCTGGTGGTGGTACCTTTATTTATTCCCAAGCACAACAGAGGCCCTGTCAGAGAACAGCGTCTAAAAATCCCCACCTACGGCACAGCATTTCTTGAATTTGTTTTTCCGTGGTAGAGGCAGAGAGGGACATAAAAAGAAACTTTTAAATACACTCTATAACTTCTAGCCCTAATCCTGCAATCCTGATGTTCACCTATTCATGATACTGTTGTTGTTGCTGGGTGCCCTGGAGTCGATTTTGACTCATAGCAACCCCCCATATGACACAGTAGCACTGCCCTAGGCTGTTATTTTTATGAGAGCAGATTGCCAGGTCTTTCTTCCTTGGAGCCACTGGCTGGGTTCAAACTACCAACCTTCGGGTTAGCAGCCAAGCGCTTAACTGTCTGCACCACCAGGGACCCTTCCTTCCTTCAACATGAATCATTAGCCGCAAATTGGCATCTATTTTAGAGTTATAAAGTTGTCTAATTGTAAAGCTGTCTATTTCAAAAAGCCTAAACACTCTACCCCATATTGTTTAGCCAAGTGAACGACAGATCTTCATTAATATAGCTGTGTCCTTTTTGAAGCTGCCACGGTCCCCTTTAGGGATCCCATAATACTCTAGACATTAATTACTGTACTCGCAATTGTAACTATCCAGGTATGTGTCTGCTTGCCCCACCGCACTGCGCCCTATTTTATCTTTGTATTCCAAGCACCTAGCACAGTGCCTGGCATATAAAACCAAAAATCCAAATCAGTTGCTGTCGCGTTGATTCCAGCTCATGGTGACTCCATAACAAGCATGAAATAGTCTGTTGAAAAAATGAATTAAGAACTGAAAGAGTACTTACTGTAAAGTATTGTTTTAATTTTCCTCTTCCATCTTTGGAGATACACATTTGGATCTTTCTAAATCAGAAGGCAGGAAAATAAAATAATAAATAATAAGTAAATGTTAGGGTAGTAAGATTGAAGATAGAGGCTAACTGTTCCTCACTTAAATAACTTAAAAATGGAGAGAAAGACGAGGAGGCTGGGAGGGGAAACCTCAAATGTAGATTAGCACGTACAGTTTTAGTATTTACCAATTCCTATGGTGGCACAAGGAGCCCTGGTGGTGCAGTGGTTAAGAGCTCAGCTGCTAACTAAAAGGTCAGCAGTTCCAATCTACCAGCCACTCCTTGGAAACCCTATGGGGTAGTTCTACTCTGTCCTATAGGGTTGCTATGATTGGAATTGGCTTGATGGCAATGGGTTTGGTTTCAGTCTTTTTTTTTTTTTTTTTTTCCCGGTATGGTGCACAAAGAAGCCCTGGTGGTGCAGCGGTTTAACTGCTCAGCCGCTAACTGAAGGATTGGTGGTTTGACCCTACCAGCCGTTCTGAGGTAGAAAGACGTGGTAGTCTGCTTCCGTAAAGATTACAGCCTTGGGAACCCTATGGAGCAGTTCGACTCTGTCATACAAGGTCACTATGAGTCAGGTTACTCCTTGTTGAGTCCAGTGAACTATGGCAAGCCAAAGGTGAATTTATTACCGAAAACTTCAAGACTGTCTTCCCAAAGGTTGCTTCCAACCGGCTTTTGAAATTTAACTCCACTGAGAAACAACAAAATCCCATAAGCAACTGAAAGCCTTTCATTGGATGTAGGATAGTGATTCCTCCCCAAAGCAATGAATCCTAAAGTCAAGTCATGTGCCTTCCCTTGTTTTCTCCTTAGCTAAAAGGGCTACTTTCTGACAAGGAGTAGAAACAGTAAACCAAAATGTCTGCCCAGGTCACCACACTACAGATCACACATACTGAAAACTTTTTTTTTTTTTTAAACTGAGGATTGAGAAAATAGTGGAGAGAGGAATTCAGGAAACGAAAGAAAACAGGTTTGCGAACTCCAGACGAGAAGCTAGGAGAGCGAGTTCCAACCCCAATCCCACCTCTAGTCGCCACTACTGATACCTTATCTAACTGGAAAGGATGTTTTATGACTACTAAACGGATAGGCCAGAAGAAAGAGCAGAGGTGGAGGGGAAAGAGGTGGTATATTTGTCTGTCTGTGGAGAAGGGGAGGGGTGGTTTGGGGTTACTTAAGTATACTTCCTGCTTCAGCCTAGGTTTTCTGTCAGAGTGTGGCTCGCAGGTGGGGGAATCAGTGACTTCAGCTGTGGGCAGCCTTGATGGCTGAGGCAGAGGAAATGGTGCCGAAGCTAATTTATACCAGTCATTTCTCTGTTGTTGTTGTTGGGTGCTGTTGAGTCAATTTTTGAGCCATAGTAACTTCACTGCGACAGAGTAAAACTGCCCCACAGAGTTTTCTAGGCTGTAATCTTTATGGAAGGAGCCCTGGTAGTGTAGTGGTTAAGTGCTCAGCTGCTAACCGAGAGGTCAGTGGTTCAAACCCACCAGCTCAGAGGGAGAAAAGACCTAGTGATCTGCTCCCGTAAAGATTACAGCCTTGGAAACCGTATGGGGCAGTTTTACTCTGTCCTATAGGGTTTCCATGAGTCAGAATCAACTCAGCGACAATGGGTTTGGTTTTGGTTTTAATTTTTACTGAAGCAGATGGCTAGATTTTTCTCCGTGGGAGCCACTGGGTGAATTTGAACCACTAACCTTTCAGTTAGCAGCCAAGCACTTAACTGTTGAGCAATCAGGGCTCCCCTGTGAGTTCTCTAGAA